AGTTTTGGTCACTTTACTGTAGAATGGACATCATTTCTATTGAGCATGTACAAAGAATGATGACAATGTTAATTCCAGAAATTAAATTCCTCCCTTATGATGAGAGATCAAAAAAAGCTTAATAATGGATAACATGATTGAAGTACAGTATATATATATATATATATGGATGAAAGGGTATCAAAATGGGATAAATGAGTTTTAAAAAATATATCTACACAAAATGTAACTCAAAACGCTGGATACATATTGGATAAATTTAGATTCAAGAATGCCATGGGTAATTACTGGGTTGGAAATGGGGGATGTAGATTTATGGGGCAAATTATCAGGGTAACACAATATAGCGGGAATTACAGGATTCAAGTATAAATTAAACAAATATTAATGTTTGGATATAAATGTGAACTGCCTCGAATGGGCCACTAGGCCTATTGCAGTTACCTTCTTTTTTTCTTGTGTTCTTCATATGTCCAACTAGCATATTGTAGAATTGTAGAGGCTTTATATATATATATATATATATATATATATATATATATATATATGCAGAATAACCACATGTGAAAATAGAGAAGGCTTAATGCATTGTCGGCTAATTCGCCTTCATCAGAATAAAGTAGAATGAAGATCATCTTCATTCTACTTTGCTCAGATGAAGGCGAATTAGCCAAAAACGTGTTAAGCATTCTCTATTTTTCACATGTGGTTATTCTGAGTACTTGGATCAGTGTTTTTGTGATCATTGTTGCATATATATATGGATGTCGTACCTAGTAGCCAGAACGCACTTCTCGGCCTACTATGCAAGGCCCGATTTGCCTAATAAGCCAAGTGATTTTTTTATTTCAATAAATTGTTTCCTGTTAGTTTATTTTAAATATTATTATATTATATTAAGAACATAAATTATTGATTTAGTTATATTAGTTTAGGTTAGGTTAAGATAGGTTAGGTTAGGTTCGGTCATATCTCTACGTTAGTTTAAACTCAAATTTAAAAAAATATCTCATAAATGATGAAACGAATAGCTTATCATAAGAAAAAAATGAGAAAAATATTGAATTTCTGGAAAACTTGGCTTATTAGGCAAATCGGGCCTTGCAAACTAGGCCAAGAACTGCATTCTGGCTACTAGGTACAACATGTGTGTGTGTGTGTGTGTGTATATATATATATATATATATATATATATATATATATATATATATATATATATATATATATATATATATATATATATATATATATATATATATATATAATAACAATTATAATTATAAATTATAATATGTCAATATATTTTAAGTGAAAAACACAGGCAACATCTATGACTTTGGACCTTGTTATATGATAATTTAGTTATTGCTTTACTGAATATACGTTGGTAAAATTATGATAAATTTATAATGTAAGAATGTAGATTAAAGTACTGTATTATAATACAGTATAATTATATTGTAAGCATTTTTGGTTTCCATTTTTTCGACAGGAACATGCTATGGGAGCATGCTACTCTAAGAAGGCCGCCAAAGCTGCATTAAAAAAACATCGAATGGAGCGCCCAACAAAGAAGGTGAGTGATAGTGAGAGAGAGAGAGCTGGTGGCAAGTGTCGTCGGACCGTGGTATGTATTGTGACGCCACCTCACCATCACCACCTCAATTCCTTGCCCAGTGGGCAAATTATCCCAGAAGCAAACCAATTCAACGTCGTCATGTAATCATTGTTTAATCAACGTCATCAGCGTTGAACTAACGCCACTCATGGATGTTGTGCCAAACGGGATGAGTGTTAAAAGAAACCCATACCTAGGTTAAAAAAATAGACCAAAATACTGGACGTTGGTTGCACAGGCCCTACAAGAAGAAAAGTGGGTAGGTAAGCTTTCTTAATATGATTTGTATTTTTACAGCTGAACTTTGAACAGTCTGTTATAGTGCGGGTCCCAGTAAAACTTAACTTCTATTGGATACTTTTGGACTACTGGTGCCTCCATGTTGGCTAGATTGTTTCATCTGCATGTGTTGCTGGGCTGAGGTGCGAAATTTGAAAAGATGGCCAGTGATAATAGCATGTATTCATCGGTGTGAAGCCAGCTTGTGTACCGGATGATATTGGTAAACACGTTCAGCAAATTGTTTGATGAACCGAGTTGGGAATCTCGTAGAATTGTAGACGAAAATATTGTACAGTATAGCACATAGTCCTCTATGGAAACAATTATATTCCGACTAATATATTATCATAGTAGAAAGTATTACACACACACACACACACACACATGCAGTTAAACGTCCAGAGTATAAATTATTGGACACATATTCAAATAAATGATCCTCAGGAACTGATATGGAAATAGTGCATAAACAGCCAACATCCGTTACTTATCACTGTAATAGTACACCGTACGTGCATAAAGTACTCGGTGTACAAATTATTATAATAGATTAAATATTTAAATGAAATGCGAAAATGCGAAATTTATAATTCAGTTCTTTGCTTTATACTCAATTCTTTGCTTTATACCTTTTATATTTTAGTTTTTTCTTCAAATAGAGTGGAACCGAAACCCCTTCATCCAGATTTTCGGATTCTTTTGAAATATATATTTCTCGTTCTCTACCCCCCATTAACAGGTTAACCCCCATTATTTGTGAAATTTAATGGCAGAGGACTTTTATTTTTGTACCAAATTGCATAAATTCTGGTTCCAGCATTTACATTGGTGCATTTCTATTAAAACACCATTGCATGCATGTTTAGCACATGTATATACTAAAGTTAATGCTACATTTAAAAAAAAATGTAGAATATGTCGCGATTTTGTATTCGATTAACTGGATTTTCGTTTATTCAGACATCTGGAGGGATTAGTTTGTTTGGATAATCGAGGGGGATCAGTTTGTTTAGATAATCGAGGCTGCACTATGGGACGGCTTTTATACGAATTGTTATGAACATTAGCTTTTAATCTCCAAGTTTGCTCCATTGAGTGTGCGTGTCCAGGAATGGATGTCACTTCTGTGGTTATACTTTGATTGTGTCATCTTACTGTGTTAATGGTCATCCTAGCACCACTGCACTCTTAGTCTGGAACTTTGTTTCCTATCTTCTAATTTTTCTTATTTATATATTTTTCGTATTCTGTAATCTATAAGTCCATAATCTAGCCTGTACGGTGAAGGTTTATGCCACCTCTCACCCTTACTATCCGGAAACGCAGTTTTTTTTAATATTTTCACCACCACCCAAACATTACTGCTCAATTTGCAGATGTGACGAAGTCTGCTGATGGTGTTGGCTTCTCCGTTATTTTTCCTGATAAAACCTTTATGGGCCGCCTGCCTCCAGAGAAGAGTATTTTTACTGTGGAGCTTTATGTGATTTTGTATGCTCTTAAAACAGTTACTTTTCACGTGGCAGTGTTTAATATTTATTTAATATTTAATTTAATATATAATAAAATTTATAGAACGGAGGTTATATATGCGAGTGTAGGTGATGTGTGGATGGTGTTATACGTAGCGAACTAGCGCTAGTTGTAAGGCTGGTGTTATACCTTAGTGGAACTACCGCTAGTTGTAAGGCAGGTGTTATACCGTAGTGAACTAGCGCCAGCTGTAAGGCTGGTGTTATACGTAGTGAACTAGCGCCAGCTGTAAGGCTGGTGTTATACGTAGTGAAACAAGCGGGAGTGGCCATGTTATTGTTGCGGCTTCTGTGTATTCCCCCGCTCACCCGTGTTGCAACGGCCCACCAACCAATCTAAATTAACGATCGTGGCTGATGTTGCTTTTTGCCATTTACAAATGGGTTAAAACTTTTATATCGTGTGTGTGTGTGTGTGTGCTTCTAATCTAGTTAAAATTCTGAAATATACCGTTATATCGAGTTGTTGTGGGATGGCATACAAAGAGGAAAAGGATAAATTGTTATAAAACAAGGATAGGGTTTATTGATGATTACATTATAGTTTGTGTTTAACATTAGTGATAGGTTTCTGCCCAAAGAAACTATGATTTTGTGTCATGGGAATCCTGCAGGAGGGAAATGTGTAGGATCTTTTTTATGAGGCTGCTTGACATGGGAGTCGGCTAGGCTACCCAGCACTTCACTAAAATAGCTATGGATGCAGATCCAGTGCAGTGAGTACGACATTTTCTTGACATTAGGAACCCCCGCGAGAACGGGCTCCCACCATCACTACATACCACAATTTACTTATCCACTGGTGAAGGCAGTTTGTAGGCTCTGATACATTTATTCCGCCGGCTGGCTCCTCCAATAGAAACCAAATACTATAAAATATATACTGTAAATATCTCACGAAATGTTTAGCTTCAGCAGTTATCACACTCCATTATTGTTATTGGTATCAAGACAGGACATCAGGAGTTTTATCGACATAAGCTGATCGGTACAAGGACGGTATCGCTTCCAGTAGGGACTGTGTTCGATCCTATATGGTCATACTGATTTAGCGTTATCTCCTGATACGTAGTACCCGCACATCTGTACCAGGATTGGGTTTTAATACCTTGTCACCGATTTCTCCCACCATTGTGATGTGAAATATGTCAGTAACGCTAGACCTACCAATTATTAGGCTCATTATTCACCATTGATACTTGAAATACCAATGTAAACAAACAACAGATGATCGCGTGACAACAGTTGAAGAGGTCTATTAGAAGATTCCTTTCTATGTCATAATTCTTCCCCATGATATCACACCGAACCTATCTCCTGAAGCCATCATCGATAGAATATCATCAGCGGCGTATGCGAGGCTGTCTGGTTCTAGATTATCTATTTAAATAGTCCAGTGAAATAGTTGACATCTGTCGTTTTCTAGTGATTCATTGAGAAAAAGGCAAGTTTAGGTATACCATGTCGGAACAGAAAATTCAGTATTGGCTTGTCGTATTCGTCCTAGCTAAGGGCGAGTCTGTATACATGTAATCACCCACTCAGTTACTAGCCAGAGCCAACGGTGCTTAACCTGAGTGGGCAAGAGAAGTAAGCAGGTTTGATAATTCAAAGAACTGTAAGGTTTGTGGTGCAGCGTCCGTGGAATGACCCAGTTGACACATGTAGGTTCTTGGGTCTTGTGGCATAACAGTAGGTTCTTGTGGCATGACAGTAGGTTCTTGTGGCATGACAGTAGGTTCTTGTGGCATGACAGTAGGTTCTTGGGGCATGACAGTAGGTTCTTGGGTCTTGTGGCATGACAGTAGGTTCTTGGGGCATGACAGTAGGTTCTTGGGGCATGACAGTAGGTTCTTGTGGCATGACAGTAGGTTCTTGTGGCATGACAGTAGGTTCTTGGGTCTTGTGGCATGACAGTAGGTTCTTGGGGCATGACAGTAGGTTCTTGTGGCATGACAGTAGGTTCTTGTGGCATGACAGTAGGTTCTTGGGGCATGACAGTAGGTTCTTGGGTCTTGTGGCATGACAGTAGGTTCTTGGGGCATGACAGTAGGTTCTTGTGGCATGACAGTAGGTTCTTGTGGCATGACAGTAGGTTCTTGTGGCATGACAGTAGGTTCTTGGGTCTTGTGGCATGACAGTAGGTTCTTGGGGCATGACAGTAGGTTCTTGGGCCTTGTGGCATGTCACATGATTTTTGATTCGGGTTCTTGGTTTCTGCTTAGTTTGGAATATTTTATTTTAAATAACTTATTTTTTTTATTCATCAATGTTTAAGGTTTAAGGTTTGTATATAAATTTCAAACCCGTACTTAAATTAAAATGGGTTCACACATCATGTCGCTAGATGGACTGTATCTTAAAATTTGCGATATGTACAAATTAAGTTTAGATATTGTAGATTTAATATATTCCATGTCAGTTATCTTATCGGGCACAAATTCACGAAGGCAAATATAATTCATTCATTTCGTCGATGATAGGAAGCCTGTGTACAGATACATGTATACTTTAGACATGTATCGACCTTGAGGTTACCTTGAGATGATTTCGGGGCTTAGCATCCCCTCGGCCCGGTCCTCGACCAGGTCTTCGAGGTTGCAGTTGTCTCTTCCTCCCCCCCCCTCTCTCTCTCTCTCTCTCTCTCTCTCTCTCTCTCTCTCTCTCTCTCTCACACAATGTTGAACTACTGACCCTCCCCGGAATGCAACCCCACAACAGTTGCCTAGATCCCGGGTACCCGTTTGCAGCTAGACGAACAGAGGCATTAAGTGAAAGCAAACGTGTCCGTTCCTGCCTCCTCCCGGGAATCGAACATTGGATCTCAGATCGTAAGGCGAGAATGCAACCAACTACACTAGGAGACTGTATGTATGCGGCACAGAGATGCAAAGTCAGGTTTAAGTGCGTTAGTGTCGCCGTGGGAAACGTGCGCGTGTTTGGATCAGTTATCACGTGACACGAGCAGCAGCAGCGGGATTGATAGGTTTAATCTGTTAGCTTAGATTCGCGACTGAGACTGATAGTGGGTCAGGCGTTAGGATGGCGCTAGGTTTCTAGAGCCCAGGGACGCTAGGACTAATACTGGTGTTGACACTAGGCACTAGGGGTTGGCTGTAGGCCAGGCCTTAGGACTGGCACTAGACCAGGTACTGGGACTGGGGAATCGTTAAGGGGGAGTGTAAGGTGTGTAGGGCCTAAACATCCGTTATCACATACCTGGGGCAGGAGACGGGGCCTCAGGTGTGATAACCGAGCTATCCCACCCAGACACTTTATCTCAACAGGATGCTCTGTATCCATTTATACCTTTGGTCCGCTCACTTTTATTAATACAGCTGTTATCGTCCTGTAAACCTGTCCATTGTGGACGTTGTAAGTTGCTTAAGTTTCAGCAAAACATAACTATTTTAACTTGTCAGGAGAGGGAACTAAACAATAACTTGGTGTAAACACCATGACTATTGTTTTAGGGATAACAAGTCACACACTGGATGTCATAAGACTATGCATGTGGCCTAGTCTAGTTAAGGGTCAGCGAGCATCAGAAAGTTTACTTAACTTCAGCAAAATAAACCTACTAACCTGCTTTTTGGTATTAAAGTGCTCTGTCATACAGTGGTTCCCAGCTACACACGTAATGTTCCTTGGTCTGTGTAGCACCTGAGTTAGAGGACTGGTCTGTGTGTGTGTAGCGCCTGCTGAGTTAGAGGACTGGTCTGTGTGTGTGTAGTGCCTGCTGAGTTAGAGGACTGGTCTGTGTGTGTGTAGTGCCTGCTGAGTTAGAGGACTGGTCTGTGTGTGTGTAGTGCCTGCTGAGTTAGAGGACTGGTCTGTGTGTGTGTAGTGCCTGCTGAGTTAGAGGACTGGTCTGTGTGTGTAGTGCCTGCTGAGTTAGAGGACTGGTCTGTGTGTGTGTGTAGCGCCTGAGTTAGAGGACTGGTCTGTGTGTGTGTGTAGCGCCTGCTGAGTTAGAGGACTGGTCTGTGTGTGTGTGTGTAGCGCCTGCTGAGTTAGAGGACTGGTCTGTGTGTGTGTGTGTAGCACCTGCTGAGTTAGAGGACTGGTCTGTGTGTGTGTAGTGCCTGCTGAGTTAGAGGACTGGTCTGTGTGTGTGTGTAGCGCCTGCTGAGTTAGAGGACTGGTCTGTGTGTGTGTGTGTAGCGCCTGCTGAGTTAGAGGACTGGTCTGTGTGTGTGTGTGTAGCGCCTGCTGAGTTAGAGGACTGGTCTGTGTGTGTGTGTGTGTAGCGCCTGCTGAGTTAGAGGACTGGTCTGTGTGTGTGTAGCGCCTGCTGAGTTAGAGGACTGGTCTGTGTGTGTGTGTAGCGCCTGCTGAGCCTAAAAGAGACTGTACCCTGGGGATTGAGAGGAGGGCCCTTGAGAGCAAGCAGACGACCCACTCTTTGTAAGCACCGTGATGGTCTGAATATTTCATGCTGCACGGGAAACGGCTCCCCACGCCCCAGACGCCGGGAACCCCCTGCCTGCTACAGCCTCTTGCCTGGAGACCTCGTAGCTGCCAGTTCAAGGTCGTCGCTACAGTCGTGTAAATAACTACCCAGCGAAGGTAACTACGTAAATGACGTCTTTAATAACTACATATATGGGAGACGGTTATCTTGAATCTTCAGTGCCAGACAGTCAAACTTCAGAGATTCTGTCTCGTTCTTCAGAATTCCACGAGTCGGTATTTTATCTTGGATACGCCCAGTTTCCAATATTCAGCGGAATGAGAAGTGTGCAGCTGTCGTCAGGAGCACACACACACACAAAAAACACACACATATGCTTTCTCAATACCATGTTGGCATACAGCACCTCGCGTATCCTACGGGCTCACCATAGCCCGTGCTACTTGGAACTTTATGTTCCAGGTAGCGAATCTTTAACAACAACAACCTCGCGTATCTAAACGAATTATAACCATTCAAATTGTATATGTAAATTAGAACGTGCTTTAGCTGTTTCCACCGCAGCCTAGGCGAAACATTTGTATGTATGTTGCTTGTTATTACTGCACCGTAAATGTTGGACTGCACGCACTTGCCCCTCACGAGGTTGATTGATTGATTGATGAAGATTAAGCCACCCAAAAGGTGGCACGGGCATGAATAGCCCGTAAGTGGTGGCCCGTTTGAGCCATTACCAGTATCAAGAGCTGATACTGGAGATCTGTGGAGGTGCAACTGCACCCTGCGTGACGGGAGATGTCTCCCGTGAAGGTTGATCTGTTGTTGTTAAAGATTTAGCTACTCAGGACGAAGTGTCCATATAGCACGGGCTATGGTGAGCCCGTAAGAAGGTTGATGATGATGATGATGATGAAGATTAAGCCACCCAAAAGGTGGCACGGGCATGAATAGCCCGTAAGTGGTGGCCCTTTTGAGCCATTACCAGTATCAAGAGCTGATACTGGAGATCTGTGGAGGTGCGAATGCACCCTGCGTGACGGGAGATGTCTCCCTTGTGAATGTGTTATGAAGATGAAGCCACCCAAAAGGTGGCACGGGCATGAATAGCTCGGAAGTGGTGGCCCTTTTGAGCCATTGCCAGTATCAAGAGCTGATACTGGAGATCTGTGGAGGCGCGACTGCACCCTGCGTGACGGGAGATGTCTCCCGGACCAAGTGGTGACCAGATGGTGGTTTTTGATGAGAAGGTTGATCAAGTAACCTGTGTTATATACTCCTAGTTCCTGGGGGAGACGGTCAACACTCAGGTGTAGTAACCCAGTCTTCTGAAACCAAGTTCAGGTATGTTTACTGAGACAAGGAAAAAAATACATCTCAAATGGATAGAGTAGCTTAGGCTATTTCTACTTCCCCCAATTTCTGAAACCTACCTTGAAATTATAATCATTTTAATTTGACTTATATGTTAGTAGTTCACTCTTTGCAGTTAACATTAGTGTGGCGATGGGAATGTCTAGGGGTGAGTACTTTGTATATTATAAATTCTGCAGTATTTACTGCTGCATTATTTACTTATGGACGCCTCCAAGCTTGTACTGTTGCAGAGAGTGCACACACACACACACACACACTTAAGCTTGCACTGGTTTGCCCTCTCTTGCTTGTTTCATGACCGTTCACCGTAACGTTGCATGCACCAGTGTACTAAGATAACTCCCCTTGTTATCTTGCCCGTTATCTTGGCCCTTGTTATCTTGCCACAGATTTGAAGCGGCAGAACCTATAACGGTACATGACAAATGTACACTACTGAACCTATAGAACATTGGGGGGGGGGGGGAGGGTTCAGTTCCTGACTCCGTTAATTGGCACATGTTCATACAAACCAAGTTGCAAAACCAAGCAACAGCCTGGTGGACAAAACTAACAAGTCAAGCCTATATATATATATATATATATATATATATATATATATATATATATATATATATATATATATATATATATATATATATATATATATATATATATATATATATATATATATATATATATTATATATATTTATTATATATATATATATATATATATATATATATATATATATATATATATATAATGTACTCAAGTGTCTAGTGGAGGTATTATTGATCACTAGATTAATTTTTATGCATTATTTGTATTATCCTTTATCTGTGTTAGGATTAGATATATCTACCAGTGGCACGGTGATATGGGCACGATGGGAGGAGGTGTCTCCCTTGCCTAGAGGAAATGGTGTTTCTTTTCACGTGGGTAATACACATTCAACAGTTTATATAAGTTGTTACGATTGAAGCGTGTGATTGTGATCACTATAGATATTGAAGACACAGTGACTGCTCATGTTCCTCACAAGCCAGGCTCAGGTTAGCAGTGGAAGGTGTTATATGCCTTCCTTTACGTGACGTGTCCGTGTTGAAGGTTGTGTGTGTGTGTGGTGACCAGTGGAGAAGCCCCCCCCCCGGGCCGTTATTTACCCTGGGAGAGGCAGTATTTACCCTGGGAGAGGCATTGTTTACCCTGGGAGAGGCAGAGGCAGGTGCTTGCTGCGGGTGTGGTCGACGGCAGCGCTGCTCAAGACCACTTCTGGACGGGTGTCGATATATAAACGTCCGCATTGCCTTGCCTGTGAGGCTGCTTGGCTTCAAACAC